AAGACCCCCAAAGACCCCCAGAGACCCCCAGAGACACCCCCCCCCCCAGTACTGGTAGAAGTAATCACACACACCCTGGAACACCCCTCACATAAATCTCCACCACCCGGAATGTGTCAACAATGCAAGGCTCCATTATTTCCAGGACAAAGGTCTTTGTACAGGAACTTGTTCCAGAACGAAAGTTCGAGTCATTAGCAGGTGTTTTCTCCACCTTGGAAGTTTCTGGCGCGTTAAAGACTTGGACTGAAGATCGAAACAAAAAAGTTTAGGACCAACTTATAGTGACTGTCAACATGCTTAGTTTCCAAAAATGAGATCTGGAAGATCTGGAAAATATGACTGGAAGATCTGGAAGATATTGAGAGAGCTTCCTTCTGGATTCTCAACAAGTTTGACTCGCGAGAAGGATTTGAGAAGTTTAATGTTTCCCTTTGCTCTTCTTCAGAGTGAAGCTTGATCTTCCAGAGTGAAGCTTGGTCTTCCATAGTGAAGCTTGATCTTCCAGAGTGAAGCTTGATCTTCCAGAGTGAAGCTTGGTCTACAAGAGTGAAGCTTGATCTTCCAGAATGAAGCTTGATCTTCTAGAGTAAAGCTTGAATTTTCCAGAGTAACTCTCGATCTTCCAGAGTGACAGCTATTCTTTCAGAGGGACTTTTGATCTTTCATATTAAAGTGTAATTTTCCAGACTTAAGTTTAATCTTCCAGACAGAAGCTTAATCTTCCATACTAAAGCTTTATCTTCCACAGTCTTGCTTATTCCACCTGAAGTCTGCTTACAAAATTCTCAAGTCTTTGGAAATAAGACGTAATGTCTATATATATATAGAGTTTGAAAGTTACTAAGACTTAAAAGAGGAGAAAGGGAAGTCTTTATAAGATCTGGAAAGACCTCTTTGACAGTTCCAGCTAATCTAGGCACCACATTGGGAGCCTCGGTGGTTATCGTGGCCTGGAAACCCTAAAATGGCTTGATCAATCGGAAACCCTGGAATATGTTCATCAGCTGGAAGCCCTGGAATGTCTTCATCAGCCATGGATTGTGGTCTTCAGCTGGAACCTCTGGAATATGACTGGATATTCTGGCGACTGATGGAGTGTGTCTGATATAATTTGAAACGTGTTCATTTTGCGTGTCATTTGCTTGCTGGATGCTCATATTAAACTTTTTGATATATGTTTTATATATATATATATATATATATATATATATATATATTATATATATATATATATATATATATATATATATATATATATATGTATATATATATATATATAGACATATATATATATATATATAGGGGTACCACCACTGGTTTAATTAAAGGGACCCACATCCTCGAAGAAGAAAATAAATAGTGTTCAGAGAAGACCTTGTGGATTCTCACTGAATACTTTAATCTTTTCCTCTCCTACCACCCCTATTATTATTTTTTTTTTATTTGATTTTATTGCAATGTTACAGTTTACAGAAAACACACACTTATATAACAATATAACAATATACCAATCAGTGTTCGAAGACCTCGTCCAGTTCCTCGGGGGTCGGGTGCGTACCCAAGATACAACACGCATATATATATATATATCATATGTACTCACATAGTTGTGTTTGCGGGGGTTGAGCCTGGGCTCTGGTCCTGCCTCTCAACCGTCAATCAACTGGTGTACAGATTCCTGAGCCTACTGGGCTCTATCATATCTACACTTGAAACCGTGTATGGAGTCAGCTTAAAGCACATCGCTGCCTAATGCATTCCATTGTTTAACTACGACAGAATTTGTTTTTATTATTTCTAACGTCTCTGTAGCTCATTTGGGTACTCAATTTCCACCTGTATCCCCTAGTGTGTATGCCGCCCCCCCACTTCCCATACACATAGAATGTATGTGTGTGTGTGCATTGGTAAGAAATCTATATATAACATAAAGCCAGCTTGGAATGAAGACTTTCCAGGACCTGAGAGCTCCAAGTGTTGCATAAGTATTGCATAGGAACTCGTAACACCTGGCAGGAGTCTTCAGTCGTCGCTTGCAACACCAGTACACAATCTGTCGTCGGGAGTCTGAGGAGCGAATAAACTACCTCAACACATGCCAATTAATGCTCATTAAAACAAAATGCTCCGTGACTTTGTTAGTATTATCAACCAATGTCTGGAACTGTGACTGTGACTGAGCTTAGGAGCAGACGGCGATGTTGATAACCTGATCGACACCTGGTACCTGTCCCAGAACACCTGTTACAGGGCACTTGGTGCATGACATCTGTCAGAAAACAGCTGGTAACGTCACCTGGTACACCTGGTACCTGTCCCAGAACACCTGTTACAGGGCACTTGGTGCATGACATCTGTCAGAAAACACCTGGTAACGTCACCTGATCGACACCTGGTACCTGTCCCAGAACACCTGTTACAGGGCACTTGGTGCATGACATCTGTCAGAAAACAGCTGGTAACGTCACCTGGTACACCTGACACCTGTCCCAGGAGTAAACACACACACTCGTAACTCACCTTGAAGAGTCGCAGGATGTTAGCGATCATGACAGAGACGGAGGAGGAGGCGGCGCCTATCACGCCGATGACAGGCTTGGGCGGGATGTAAATAGGTTTCTTGCCTCCTTTGCACTTGAAGTCCGACGCGTCCTGTAACAACAGAGAGGGAGTAACGACGTCATTTGCCAGTTGAAGTGGTTAGGTTAGGTTAGGTTAGGCCACACACTAGAAGGTGAAGGGACGACGACGTTTCGGTCCGTCCTGGACCATTCTCAAGTCGATTGGACTTGAGAATGGTCCAGGACGGATTGAAGGGGCTTCTTGAGTTGAGGGTAGCAGTATAGGGATTAAGTGTGATGGAAGGGACGTCAGGACATCGTAAGGGAGTTGAAGAAGTAAGGGAGTTGATATCAGAAAGATGACGAGTGTGTCTGTAGAGAGTTTAGGACGTCATAAAGGGTCACTATATAGGGTGTTAGTAAGAGTTGAGGGTACTGAGCTCGGAGGCTGTAATTTACAAAGCCTCTTGCTTTATTTCCCACTCGCGTAGCAAATAAAGCAAAAAGAGACAGCCAAACTAATCAAAGTACCATTGAGCGCAAATCACCCCAGCGCCAGAGAGGCCATTAAATTCAATACAGCGCCACGAGTTCAGAGTAAATCAATACAGTGCCGAGGCTGACAAGAATATATTGGGAATCAGGGAATCATGCAGTAACAAATACCCCCCCCCCAAACGAAGAGTTTCTAAGAGTGGCACTCTACTCGCCTTTAAGAGTGGCACTCTCTGGCACTCTACCCGTCTTTAAGAGCGCCTCCCATACAATAGCCGGGGCACTCTTGTTATTCAAGAATTCTTTTGAAGATTCGTGTCAGCGATTTAAGGGAGTGATATCTGTTGGGGGTGGGTTGTGGTGGTTGTGGTGGTTGTGGTGGTGGTGGTGGTGGTTGTGGTGGTGGTGGTGGTGGTGGTTGTGGTGGTGGTGGTGGTTGTGGTGGTGGTGGTTGTGGTGGTTGTGGTGGTGGTGGTGGTGGTGGTGGTGGTGGTGGTGGTGGTGGTTGTGGTGGTGGTGGTTGTGGTGGTGGTGGTGGTGGTGGTGGTGGGGATACGGTGGTTGCAATAATTGTACCGGTTTGCGACTCACATTGACAGCTCTCAAAAGTGCTAGTTATATGTCAATCGACTCATTTGTATCTTACATACTTCTTTATTTCCTCCCTTTCTGCTTCTCAAGTGTGTCTCCCTCCATTCACAACCCTCCCACATCCCTGCCTCTCACCCTCCCTGCCTCTCTGCCTCTCACCCTCCCTGCCTTACTGCCTCTCACCCTCCCTGCCTCTCTGCCTCTCACTCTCCCTGCCTCCCTGCCTCCATCTGCTGCTGCGTCTCTAACCTGGGGAATCGCTGACTCAGGAATTATAGCCAAGAGAAGGACGTCGCACTGAACGAGTCATTCCTCAGATATGATAGCCTGTCAGGCCGACTCCCTTGGCCAGAGTGGGTCATCTTGCCTGTCTATATAGGCTGTCAGGCCGACTCCCTCGGCCAGAGTGGGTCATCTTGCCTGTCTATATAGGCTGTCAGGCCGACTCCCTCGGCCAGAGTGGGTCATCTTGCCTGTCTATATAGCCTGTCAGGCCGACTCCCTCGGCCAGAGTTAGTCATCTTGCCTGTCTATATAGGCTGTCAAGCCGACTCCCTCGGCCAGAGTGGGTCATCTTGCCTGTCTATATAGCCTGTCAGGCCGACTCCCTCGGCCAGAGTGGGTCATCTTGCCTGTCTATATAGGCTGTCAGGCCGACTCCCTCGGCCAGAGTGGGTCATCTTGCCTGTCTATATAGCCTGTCAGGCCGACTCCCTCGGCCAGAGTTAGTCATCTTGCCTGTCTATATAGGCTGTCAAGCCGACTCCCTCGGCCAGAGTGGGTCATCTTGCCTGTCTATATAGCCTGTCAGGCCGACTCCCTCGGCCAGAGTGGGTCATCTTGCCTGTCTATATAGCCTGTCAGGCCGACTCCCTCGGCCAGAGTGGGTCATCTTGCCTGTCTATATAGGCTGTCAGGCCGACTCCCTCGGCCAGAGTGGGTCATCTTGCCTGTCTATATAGGCTGTCAGGCCGACTACCTCGGCCAGAGGGAGGCATCTTGCCTGTCTATCTGTTTATCTGACCATCTCCTCTCCATTCCTGTCCCCTCTCTTCCCCTTCCATGCCAATCTTCCCTCTTCCAGTGGTGTCCCAGGGGGGGGGGGGTGGAGGGAAGGGCACCAGTGAAGGGAAGTCGCTCACCCCTCGCTTGTTCGAGCTTCCGTATTCTTTCATAAATATGTGTGTATGTATGTAGTGATGTTATATATTGATGTACATAGTGGTGAATATATTAATGTATATAGTGATGTATATATGGGTGCATATAGTGATGTACATAGTGGTGTATATATGGGTGCATATAGTGATGTACATAGTGATGTATATATGGGTGCATATAGTGATGTACATAGTGATGTATATATGGGTGCATATAGTGATGTACATAGTGATGTATATATGGGTGCATATAGTGATGTACATAGTGATGTATATATGGGTGCATATAGTGATGTACATAGTGATGTATATATGGGTGCATATAGTGATGTACATAGTGGTGTAGGGATATATATAGTAGGTGTAGATACTGATGTATATAGTAGTGAATATATTGATGTAAATAGTGGAGTATATAATAATGATTATAGTGGTGAGTATATATATATATATATATATATATATATATATATATATATATATATATATATATATATATATATGTATATATATGCCTATACTTGCATAAACCACAAGTGAAGATAAACAATCTTTGGACAACACCCACCAGTGGGACTCGAACCCAGAAAGCACAACTACCTTCCAGTAGCTGGCATAACTAGTATGCTTTAACCCACTACGCCATCAGACCTTACAAAAGAAGTAGATAGTTCGAGATATATATATCTCAACACACTGGTGGGTGTTGTCCAAAGATTGTTTATCTTCACTTGTGGTTTATGCAAGTATAGGCTTATAAGCTGGACACGAGTTCTCTCACATTGACAGTGGCTTGACGAAAATTGCAGACTGACCCCTCACTCATCTGGTGCCTTCGGGAGGTAGAGATGTTTGAGATATATATATCTCGAACTATCTACTTCTTTTGTAAGGTCTGATGGCGTAGTGGGTTAAAGCATACTAGTTATGCCAGCTACTGGAAGGTAGTTGTGCTTTCTGGGTTCGAGTCCCACTGGTGGGTGTTGTCCAAAGATTATGTATATATATATATATATATATATATATATATATATATTTATATATATGTGCGAACAAGCCTGAATGGTCCCCAGGACAATATGCAACTGAAAACTCACACCCCAGAAGTGACTCGAACCCATACTCCCAGAAGCAACGCAACTGGTATGTACAAGACGCCTTAATCCACTTGACCATCACGACCGGACAAAATGAGGTGATAGCCGAGGCTATCATTTTGTCCGGTATCACCTCATTTTGTCCGGTCGTGATGGTCAAGTGGATTAAGGCGTCTTGAACATACCAGTTGCGTTGCTTCTGGGAGTATGGGTTTGAGTCACTTCTGGGGTGTGAGTTTTCAGTTGCATATTGTCCTGGGGACCATTCAGGCTTGTTCGCATTTGTGTTCCTCACGTGTGCCCCAAAGAATGAGGTGATTTGGTAAAATGCTATGCCCAAGATTACTATCCGAGTGCCGGCGGTGGGGTGGTTCAAATAGCCTCGGCTATCACCTCATTTTGTCCGGTCGTGATGGTCAAGTGGATTAAGGCGTCTTGTACATACCAGTTGCGTTGCTTCTGGGAGTATGGGTTCGAGTCACTTCTGGGGTGTGAGTTTTCAGTTGCATATTGTCCTGGGGACCATTCAGGCTTGTTCGCATTTGTGTTCCTCACGTGTGCCCCAAAGAATGAGGTGATTTGGTAAAATGCTATGCCCAAGATTACTATCCGAGTGCCGGCGGTGGGGTGGTTCAAATAGCCTCGGCTATCACCTCATTTTGTCCGGTCGTGATGGTCAAGTGGATTAAGGCGTCTTGTACATACCAGTTGCGTTGCTTCTGGGAGTATGGGTTCGAGTCACTTCTGGGGTGTGAGTTTTCAGTTGCATATTGTCCTGGGGACCATTCAGGCTTGTTCGCATTTGTGTTCCTCACGTGTGCCCCAAAGAATGAGGTGATTTGGTAAAATGCTATGCCCAAGATTACTATCCGAGTGCCGGCGGTGGGGTGGTTCAAATAGCCTCGGCTATCACCTCATTTTGTCCGGTCGTGATGGTCAAGTGGATTAAGGTGTCTTGTACATACCAGTTGCGTTGCTTCTGGGAGTATGGGTTCGAGTCACTTCTGGGGTGTGAGTTTTCAGTTGCATATTGTCCTAGGGACCATTCAGGCTTGTTCGCATTTGTGTTCCTCACGTGTGCCCCAAAGAATGAGGTGATTTGGTAAAATGCTATGCCCAAGATTACTATCCGAGTGCCGGCGGTGGGGTGGTTCAAATAGCCTCGGCTATCACCTCATTTTGTCCGGTCGTGATGGTCAAGTGGATTAAGGCGTCTTGTACATACCAGTTGCGTTGCTTCTGGGAGTATGGGTTCGAGTCACTTTTGGGGTGTGAGTTTTCAGTTGCATATTGTCCTGGGGACCATTCAGGCTTGTTCGCATTTGTGTTCCTCACGTGTGCCCCAAAGAATGAGGTGATTTGGTAAAATGCTATGCCCAAGATTACTATCCGAGTGCCGGCGGTGGGGTGGTTCAAATAGCCTCGGCTATCACCTCATTTTGTCCGGTCGTGATGGTCAAGTGGATTAAGGCGTCTTGTACATACCAGTTGCGTTGCTTCTGGGAGTATGGGTTCGAGTCACTTCTGGGGTGTGAGTTTTCAGTTGCATATTGTCCTGGGGACCATTCAGGCTTGTTCGCATTTGTGTTCCTCACGTGTGCCCCAAAGAATGAGGTGATTTGGTAAAATGCTATGCCCAAGATTACTATCCGAGTGCCGGCGGTGGGGTGGTTCAAATAGCCTCGGCTATCACCTCATTTTGTCCGGTCGTGATGGTCAAGTGGATTAAGGCGTCTTGTACATACCAGTTGCGTTGCTTCTGGGAGTATGGGTTCGAGTCACTTCTGGGGTGTGAGTTTTCAGTTATATATATATATGTATATATATATATATATATATATATATATACAACACACTTGCATAAACGCGTAAGTTATATGTAACTTAAAGAACTTTTCTCCGTGAAGGATTCGAACCTCAGAAAGACAGATGCATCACACACCCTGACACAACCAGTACACTACCAACCATGGGCGACTCTTAAAAGAAAATCTGTAACCTTGGCATGTGTTGTTGGGGGGTTGACAACTGGGCTCCGTTGACTGTTGTTCATGACCTGTCAAGTGGATCTCTTACACCTGAGAGTGGAATAGTGTCTTGACGGAGGTTAAGGTGACGATCTTGAGTAACGTAACTAATGTGGGTCACTGTTTAATAGGAAGTTGTTGAATAAACCTATTTTTGCTAAGACACGTGCCTTTGATGTTATTTCTAAATATGTAGTACTGTTCTCCATATTTTATCACTTGCTACTTAACATTGTCATTGATTTGAGTTGCCTCAGGATCCAGCCCAGAGCCTCAAGCACTGAAGATCCCATCCGCTACCTGCTAGATTTGCTTGCAAGCAAGTTGAGCAGAGAAGCAGGTTAAGTGGGGGAAGGTCTGGTATTGCTGGTGGAGTAGAGGACCTCCCTGGCCTTCACCTGAAATACTTAGATTTTTGGCGTCTTGCCCTATACCTCCGGAGTGTATTCATTTGTTTGATGAAGGCAAACATTCGAATCCACCTCCCAGTAGCCAGTAAAATGTCACACTCTGGCGCCCAGCGCGGTGCTAGACTTGTGTGGGACAATAAGTTACTTCTGACGCCTAAAGTGGGGTTAAGAAGTGAATAGGCAAAAAAATAACTTTTCACGGTCTTCCACAGTAATTAGAGATAGATCAGTGCAAAAGATGTACAGTGACCACAACACAGCAGTTGCAACATCAGAATCTGCGGGTTGGTACAAGAATTCAACCAACTACGAACCACTTAGTTTGATGAACGGGAGCAGTAGAACAACAGAAGTGCACTTACATCGCATCAGGCTTGGATACCCATGTGCATGGGAAATAGGCTTACAGGTTCCGGAAGATGAGAGGAAATGTCAGCACTGTGGAGAAATGCCCGACAGATCACTGGAACATTATCTAACACAGTGCACAGTTACAGCCAAAACAGACCACTGGAACATTATCTAAAACAGTGCACAATTACAACCACAACAGACCACTGGAACATTATCTAACACACTGCACAGTTACAAACCCAATACGATTTCAACTAAGATTCAACAGAGCCAAACACATGGGACAAAATCTTACTGAAGCGACCATACGAGTCATAAATACTCACACTCCGCCCAAGTAAAACAGAAACAAGCAACACTTAGTGGGCCAGCCAGAGGCTTAGGGCCCGAGCAGTGGGCCAACCAGAGGCTTAGGGCCCGCGCAGTGGGCCAACCAGAGGCTTAGGGCCCGCGCAGTGGGCCAACCAGAGGCTTAGGGACCGCGCAGTGGGCCAACCAGAGGCTTATGGCCCGCGCAGTGGGCCAACCAGAGGCTTAGGGCCCGCGCAGTGGGCCAACCAGAGGCTTAGGGCCCGCGCAGGAATATCCCTACCAAAAAGAAAAAAAAAACACCACCACCATCACCACCATCCCCCACTACCATCACCACCACCATAACCACCATCCCCCACCACCACCACCATGACCGGACGAAGAGATAGATTGGGACAAGGGAGTACCTGAAGAACGGAAAACAGAGAGAGAGGAGGTTTCAAGCTGGAGGAATGTATCAAGTGGGGTCCCACAAGGCTCGGTGCTGGGACCGCTGCTGTTCCTGATGTGTGTGAAGGGCCTGCCTTAGGCCCCCCCCCTCCCTTAGGAGGCCTGGTCGACGACCGAGCCGCGGGGACGCTAAGCCCCGGAAGCACCTCAAGGTAGGCTGTGACCTGGGACATGTTGATGTCTGCAGACGACGCCAAGCTAACTAAGGAAGGTTGTGCAATCTGAGGACTGTAAGATGTTGAAGGACCACCAAGCCAAGGACCACCAAGCCAAGGACCACCAAGCCAAGGACCACCAAGCCAAGGACCACCAAGCCTAGGACCACCAAGCCAAGGACCACCAAGCCAAGGACCACCAAGCCTAGGACCACCAAGCCAAGGACCACCAAGCCAAGGACCACCAAGCCTAGGACCACCAAGCCAAGGACCACCAAGCCAAGGACCACCAAGCCAAGGACCACCAAGCCAAGGACCACCAAGCCAAGGACCACCAAGCCAAGGACCACCAAGCCTAGGACCACCAAGCCAAGGACCACCAAGCCAAGGACCACCAAGCCTAGGACCACCAAGCCAAGGACCACCAAGCCAAGGACCACCAAGCCAAGGACCACCAAGCCAAGGACCACCAAGCCAAGGACCACCAAGCCTAGGACCACCAAGCCAAGGACCACCAAGCCAAGGACCACCAAGCCAAGGACCACCAAGCCAAGGACCACCAAGCCAAGGACCACCAAGCCAAGGACCACCAAGCCAAGGACCACCAAGCCAAGGACCACCAAGCCAAGGACCACCAAGCCTAGGACCACCAAGCCAAGGACCACCAAGCCAAGGACCACCAAGCCAAGGACCACCAAGCCAAGGACCACCAAGCCAAGGACCACCAAGCCAAGGTCCACCAAGCCAAGGACCACCAAGCCAAGGACCACCAAGCCAAGGACCACCAAGCCAAGGTCCACCAAGCCAAGGACCACCAAGCCTAGGACCACCAAGCCAAGGACCACCAAGCCAAGGACCACCAAGCCAAGGACCACCAAGCCAAGGACCACCAAGCCAACGCCCACCAAGCCAACGACCACCAAGCCAAGGACCACCAAGCCAAGGACCACCAAGCCAAGGACCACCAAGCCAAGGACCACCAAGCTAGGGACCACCAAGCTAGGGACCACCAACTCCAGGAGCGGGAAAACCAACGCTGTTGGGATTCATTCCCATCAGGTGAAAGATAACGATGAAGGCTGAAAGAAGACCAGGAACTATCTTCACTATATAGGGAATGACAGCTACGATAATGTGAAGGGGAAACGTCGTGGATATCATTTCAAAACCTGACACCAGAAGCACACATGAACAGGCAGTCATCAGCAGCATATGGGACGCTGGTAAACATGAGAACATCGATTAGAAACCTAAATCAGGACTCCTTGAAGGCCAGACTACACAACATATGCTACACCAATACTGGAATATGCAGCACCAGCATGGAACCCAACCCTTGAGAATTATAAATCTAGAAGAGCTAAATGTCACAACCCTAGAGGATAGAAGAAGCAGGATATGATCACGATATACAAGATACTGAGGGGGGAATAAACAAGGTCAACAAGGACAGCCTCCTCAATGTGAGAGAAAGAATGTAGGAGGAGAGGACACAGGTAGAAGCAGGAAGAGGGAAGAAAGCAAAGGTAAAGTCTTGGTTCGACAAAGGAATTGAAACTTCAGTGTAGTTAAATTGTAACACAAATTTACGAGGTGGTGCGACCCCCACTCCTCCAGAAGACCCTGATAGGTATTAACCACCACAACCACCACCACCACCACAACCACCACAACCACCACAACCACCACAACCACCACCACAACCACCACAACCACCACCACCACAACCACCACCACCACCACAACCACCACAACCACCACAACCACCACCACAACCACCACAACCACCACAACCACCACCACAACCACCACAACCACCACCACAACCACCACAACCACCACCACCACCACAACCACCACAACCACCACCACAACCACCACAACCACCACCACAACCACCACAACCACCACAACCACCACCACAACCACCACAACCACCACCACAACCACCACAACCACCACCACCACCACAACCACCACAACCACCACCACAACCACCACAACCACCACCACAACCACCACAACCACCACAACCACCACCACAACCACCACAACCACCACCACCACCACAACCACCACAACCACCACAACCACCACCACCACAACCGCCACAACCACCACAACCACCACCACAACCACCACAACCACCACAACCACCACCACCACAACCACCACAACCACCACAACCACCACCACAACCACCACAACCACCACCACCACAACCACCACAACCACCACCACCACCACCACAACCACCACAACCACCACCACCACCACCACCACAACCACCACCACAACCACCACCACAACCACCACCACAACCACCACAACCACCACCACCACAACCACCACCACAACCACCACAACCACCACAACCACCACCACCACAACCACCACAACCACCACAACCACCACCACAACCACCACAACCACCACCACCACAACCACCACAACCACCACCACCACCACCACCACAACCACCACAACCACCACCACAACCACCACCACAACCACCACCACAACCACCACAACCACCACCACCACAACCACCACAACCACCACCACCACAACCACCACAACCACCACAACCACCACAACCACCACCACCACAACCACCACCACCACCACAACCACCACAACCACCACAACCACCACCACAACCACCACAACCACCACCACCACAACCACCACAACCACCACCACCACCACCACCACAACCACCACAACCACCACCACCACCACCACCACCACAACCACCACAACCACCAAACCACAACCACAACCACAACCACCACCTACAAAGTCAACAACCCCCCCCAGACAAAAGCACAACACACTTTGCTCTCCACCTCCGCCCCTGTATCAGAGGTCGACGGTAGTTCGCCAGTCTTTGTTCGCCTGTCACTCGTTCGCCAGGGCCGTCGCTCGTTATGGCTGACGGTGTGGAGAGACGTCTGACGCCATCAGACAGACAGACAGACAGACAGACAGACAGACAGACAGACAGACAGACAGACTGACTGACTGACTGACTGACTGACTGACTGACTGACTGACAGACAGACAGACAGACAGACAGACAGACAGACAGACAGACAGACTGACTGACTGACTGACTGACAGACAGACAGACAGACAGACAGACAGACAGACAACTTTAACACCGTATAAGAAGCCTATTCTGGAAGATCTGGGAAAGGAAGAGTGTCCGCTTGTGGGATGGAACGGTTAATAGGACACAACTACACTGTTCCATAATATACCGGGACCCGGTTATTGTGACCCCTCTCCGGTATAAACTGTTCCATAATATACCGGGACCCGGTTATTGTGACCCTCCCCCCGGTATAAACTGTTCCATAATATACCGGGACCCGGTTATTGTGACCCCCCCCCCCGGTATAAACTGTTCCATAATATACCGGGACCCGGTTATTGTGACCCTCCCCCCGGTATAAACTGTTCCATAATATACCGGGACCCGGTTATTATGACCCCCCGGTATAAAATGTTCCATAATATACCGGGACCCGGTTATTGTGACCCCTCTCCGGTATAAACTGTTCCATAATATACCGGGACCCGGTTATTTTGACCCCCCCGGTATAAACTGTTCCATAATATACCGGGACCCGGTTATTGTGACCCCCGGTATAAAATGTTCCATAATATACAGGGACCCGGTTATTGTGACCCCCGGTAAAATGCTATACCGGAAGCTGGTTAAAGGAACCACCCCCTCTCCCCTAACCGGAGCATCAAACGATGCTCCTCCGGTCCTTTAAACGATCTATACTGTTTATCTTAGTCCCTTGCAACCGAATTCCACTACACCTCGAGGCTCTTATCACAAGATGCATATAATAGGCCTCGGATAATGTCACCTCTAGCGTCCCCTTAAAGCAAAGTCCATTATAGCAAGAGTCTTAATCACTGATTCTGTTCAGTGATATCCGGGTAAAAGAGCCACGGGCGTCCTTTCAAACCGAAATCCCGTATAAATGGGACATCAGCCCCCCCGCTTTACGTAATGGAGTTCGGATAAAAGGGACACATATCCCTGTAAAACAGGATATCATCTACGTGAAAACGCTTAACCGCGAATGTACTGGAAAGAAAAGCGCCCGTTTAAACGGAGGTTACTGTATAAGAGGTCAGTATAAACGGTTAGGGGAACATGAAAAGAGAGATGGACCTTTTACGCAGTGTTTGTTGTGAGTCGGTGTGTGTGTGTAGAGCGGCACCTGGATAATCTGTACAATCCGTTAGCGAAGAGGTCGACTAGGAGAAGGGGGAGGAGGGGAGGAGGGGGGCGGAGAAGAGGGGGAGGAAGAAGAAGAGGAGAAAGAGGATGCAGACAGGAGACAGGTGACAGGAGATGACGGGAGGAGACAGAGGTCTCCGTCTCTCCGTCAGCCATAGTGGCCTCTCCTAAATTAAAGATGTCTTGTTTGTTGACCTTCCAGTGTGACCCCCACACTACTGGACCACCAAGGGACCACCATGCTAGGGACCACCAAGCTAGGGACCACCATGCTAGGGACCACCATGCTAGGGACCACCATGCTAGGGTCCACCATGCTAGGGTCCACCATGCTAGGGACCACCAAGCTAGGGTCCACCATGCTAGGGTCCACCATGCTAGGGACCACCATGCTAGGGACCACCATGCTAGGGTCCACCATGCTAGGGTCCACCATGCTAGGGTCCACCAAGCTAGGGTCCACCAAGCTAGGGACCACCATGCTAGGGACCACCAAGCTAGGGTTCACCATGCTAGGGTCCACCATGCTAGGGTCCACCATGCTAGGGTCCACCATGCTGGGGTCCACCATGCTAGGGTCCACCATGCTAGGGTCCACCATGCTAGGGACCACCAAGCTAGGGTCCACCATGCTAGGGTCCACCATGCTAGGGTCCACCATGCTAGGGACCACCAAGCTAGGGTCCACCATGCTAGGGTCCACCATGCTAGGGTCCACCATGCTAGGGACCACCAAGCTAGGGTCCACCATGCTAGGGTCCACCATGCTAGGGTCCACCATGCTAGGGTCCACCATGCTGGGGTCCACCATGCTAGGGTCCACCATGCTAGGGTCCACCATGCTAGGGTCCACCATGCTAGGGTCCACCATGCTAGGGTCCACCATGCTAGGGTCCACCATGCTAGGGTCCACCATGCTAGGGTCCACCATGCTAGGGTCCACCATGCTAGGGTCCACCATGCTAGGGTCCACCAAGCTAGGGACCACCATGCTAGGGACCACCATGCTAGGGTCCACCATGCTAGGGTCCACCATGCTAGGGTCCACCAAGCTAGGGTCCACCAAGCTAGGGACCACCATGCTAGGGACCACCAAGCTAGGGTTCACCATGCTAGGGTCCACCATGCTAGGGTCCACCATGCTAGGGTCCACCATGCTAGGGTCCACCATGCTAGGGTCCACCATGCTAGGGTCCACCATGCTAGGGACCACCAAGCTAGGGTCCACCATGCTAGGGTCCACCATGCTAGGGTCCACCATGCTAGGGTCCACCATGCTAGGGACCACCAAGCTAGGGTCCACCATGCTAGGGTCCACCATGCTAGGGTCCACCATGCTAGGGTCCACCATGCTAGGGTCCACCATGCTAGGGTCCACCATGCTAGGGTCCACCATGCTAGGGACCACCATGCTAGGGACCAACAAGATAGGGTCCACCATGCTAGGGTCCACCATGCTAGGGTCCACCATGCTAGGGTCCACCATGCTAGGGTCCACCATGCTAGGGTCCACCGTGCTAGGGTCCACCATGCTAGGGTCCACCATGCTAGGGTCCACCATGCTAGGGACCACCATGCTAGGGACCACCAAGATAGGGTCCACCATGCTAGGGTCCACCAAGCTAGGGTCCACCAAGCTAGGGTCCACCATGCTAGGGTCCACCAAGCTAGGGACCACCATGCTAGGGTCCACCATGCTAGGGACCACCATGCTAGGGACCACCAAGATAGGGTCCACCATGCTAGGGTCCACCAAGCTAGGGTCCACCAAGCCAGGGACCACCAAGCCAGGGATCACCAAGCTAGGGACCACCAAGCCAGGGACCACCAAGCCAGGGACCACCAAGCCAGGGACCACCAAGCCAGGGACCACCAAGCTAGGGACCACCAAGCCAGGGACCACCAAGCCAGGGACCACCAAGCCAGGGACCACCAAGCCAGGGACCACCAAGCCAGGGACCACCAAGCTAGGGACCACCAAGCTAGGGACCACCAAGCCAGGGACCACCAAGCCAGGGACCACCAAGCCAGGGACCACCAAGCTAGGGACCACCAAGCCAGGGACCACCAAGCCAGGGACCACCAAGCCAGGGACCACCAAGCCAGGGACCACCAAGCCAGGGACCACCAAGCTAGGGACCACCAAGCTAGGGACCACCAAGCCAGGGACCACCAAGCCAGGGACCACCATGCTGAAGCTTAAGATAAAGTGATTTGAGCAAAATGCAAATCTCATTATCAAAGTTTGTATGTGTGAGCCCCTGGAGGGGGGCGTCCCTCCCCCAGGGGGCGTCCCCTCACACTCCCAACCTTCTCCCTTCTCTAACTCTGCCTTTCCGTTCCCTCACTCTCCCTCACTCTCCCTCACTATGCCTCACTCTCCCTCACTCTCCCTCACTATGCCTCACTCTCCCTCACTCTCCCTCACTCTCCCTCACTCTCCCTCACTCTCCCTCACTTTCCCTCACTCTCCCTCACTCTCCCTCACTCTCCCTCACTATGCCTCACTCTCCCTCACTCTCCCTCACTATGCCTCACTCTCCCTCACTCTCCCTCACTCTCCCTCACTCTCCCTCACTATGCCTCACTCTCCCTCACTCTCCCTCACTATGCCTCACTATGCCTCACCTCTCCTTCCCTGTGTCCTCTCCCCCCCCCCCGCCCTGTGGGGACTCATATAATGCCATAACTCATAATTATATAATATTAAAACACACCTTTATGAGATAAACTCTCTGTTCAGGTTTAATTAAATTAATACGTAACTAATATGACCGTAGGTATGCCGGCCGACGCCACGCTGCAGGCGTCGGCCTGGCTGGCGTCCGGGGACTAATGGGTAGAGTATCTTTCATCCTGACGCTGCTGTTCACCTAGCAGTAAATAGGTATCTGGGAGTTAGACAGCTGCTACGGGCTGCTTCTTGAGGATGTGTGTGTGTGTGTGTGTACTCACCTATTTGTACTCGCCTATTTGTGTCTGCAGGATCGAGCATTAACTCTTGGATCCCGCCTTTCTAGCCATCGGTTGTTTACAGCAATGACTCCTGTCCCATTTCCCTATCATATTTAGTTTTAAAATTATGAATAGTATTTGCTTCCACAACCTGTTCCTTAAGTGCATTCCATTTTCCCACTACTCTCACGCTAAAAAAATACTTCCTAACATCTCTGTGACTCATCTGAGTTTCCAGCTTCCACCCATGTCCCCTCGTTCTGTTACTATTACGTGTGAACATTTCGTCTATGTCCACTCTGTCAACCCCCTTAGTATTTTATACGTTCCTATCATGTTCCCCCTCTCCATTCTTCTTTCTAGTGTCGCAAGGCACAGTTTCCTCAGGCGCTCCTCATACCCCATCCCTCGTAATTCTTGGACGAGTCTCGTTGCAAACCTCTGAACCTTTTCCAGTTTCCTTATATGCTTCTTCAGATGGGGACTCCATGATGAGGCGGCATACTCTAAGACTGGCCTTACGTACGCAGTGTAAAGCGCCCTAAATGCCTCCTTACTTAGGTTTCTGAATGATGTTCTAACTTTGGTCCCGCCTCTCAACTGTCAATCAACTGGTGTACAGATTCCTGAGCCTACTTGGCTCTATCATATCTACATTTGAAACTGTGTATGGAGTCAGCCTCCACCACATCACTTCCTAGTGCATTCCATCCGTTAACTACTCTGACACTGAAAAAGTTCCTTCTAACGTCTCTGTGGCTCATGTGGGTACGCAGTTTCCACCTGTGTCCCCTTGTTCGCGTCCCACCAGTGTTGAATAGTTCATCCTTGTTTACCCGATCGATTCCCCCTGAGGATTTTGTAGGTTGTGATCATGTCTCCCCGTACTCTTCTGTCTTCCAGTGTCGTAAGGTACATTTCCCGCAGCCTTTCCTCGTAACTCATGCCTCTTAATTCTGGGACTAGTCTAGTGGCATACCTTGGAACTTTTTCCAGCTTCGTCTTGTGCTTGACAAGGTACGGGGTCCATGCTGGGGCCGCATACTCCAGGATTGGTCTTACATATGTGGTGTACAAGATTTTGAATGATTCCTTACACAGGTTCCTGAACGCTGTTCTGATGTTAGCCAGCCTCCCATATGCCGCAGACGTTATTCATTTTATGTGTGTGTGTGTTAGAGAGAAATATATATGTAGTAGATATAAAAAGATGAAAAATAGATTGGTCAGAAAGGCGGGGTCCAAGAGCTAATAGCTCAATCTTGCAGACACAATTAATAAATTGTAAATACAAATAGTAAATACACAGTTCACTCCTTAGTAAAATCTTAATTTTCCCTCCCTCCTCACACTTCATAATGTCCTCCCTCCCCCCCCTCACACCTCACAATGCCCTTCCCTCACTCTCCTCCTCACTCAGCATACTCATGCTCCTTCGGCTTAGCATATCATGCTCAGCCTCCGCTATCTTCTCCTCTACTCACTTTTCTCATAGTATATGTGTCACGTTATCTCACAGATTCTCTCATATTTCCTCATTCTCCCGCATAATTTACCTCACACAGTCCCCCCCCCCCCAGTCTTTAGTACGCATTACCTCACCTCCACTACCTTCTCAAGTGTTCTCTTCCCCTTGCTCCACTTCCTTGCTCCATTCTCTCATCTTTATCTCACATATTCTCATTTACCCGTACGTAAGTCTTCTCTCTCGCTTCCTTTTTTTCTCTCTATAAAAGAGCTTCCTGTTTTCTGAATAATTTTGTTTCTGGGGTTTTCCCCTATTTCCTCATTCGCTTTTCGTTTTTCTTTCTCCTTGATTTAATATTTTTTTCACGCTCAATTATCGTGATTATCTTTCACACTTAATTATCTTCCAGTTTCGTTGCTTCTCTCTCGTTCGCTAGACATCAACGCTACATATTTGTCGTATCGTTAGCTCTTAACGTTGTTACAGATGTCGTTGTCGTTATCTGGTGCCGATTTGCGTTAATTGGGTCTGAGCGTCGGCAAGGTACATCGACCATACAAAATACTGACTTGGCTACCTTTCCTGCCACTCAGATCCGGGTCTCACTCCCTCACTCGATTACGACTTCTCTACCGAGGGCTCTCCCTCCATCGGCAGACAACTATCAGAAGGAAGCGCCAATCCATCACGACTGTATTGAGCATTGGCAAGGGGGTCAGGATAAGGATTTGGGATGGGAGGGGTGGGGAGGGAGGTGGAGAAATGGTGCCCAACCTCTTGTGGACAGTCGGGGATTGAACGCCGATCTGCAGGGTGTGAGGGACGTCCGTTTCGCCCTGAAGTCGGAGTTTAAAGTCTCCTATAGAGCCTAATAATGGAATGTTAATTTCCACGATAGTGTGATTGACATAATATATATATATATATATATATATATATATATATATATATTATATATATATATATATATATATATATATATATATATATATATATATCCATCTATCTTTAAAAGCATGCTTTAGTTGGATTAAAAGCCTGTAGGGTGTTGGGGACATTTGCAGAAGCAAAGTGATGTTAGAGCAAAGGTCGGGGGTGAGGGAGGCCAGCTAGTGTAGTGGTGGTGAGAGGGTGTTATACATGGATGGTTATACATGGGCTGTTATACATGGGCTGTTATACACTGTGTTATATTTGTGACATAATACATAGTGTTATACTTGCTTATATACATGAGGTTTTACACATGACAGTGCGGTTGACTGGAGACCACCAGTCATCCAATCCGTTTGTCTAATCAATTCAACCATCAACAAATTTGATATAGAGAATCCCTATCTCGCCCCCCTCACAGAAAAGCGATTATTTAAGCGATTATTATAATTTGTCGCAAGAAGGAAAGTCATCTGCTGGTCACAGCATCCACGTGATGCTGCGGCGCTTGTCCCGTCTTGGTGAGGTGTTCCAGCACTCTCCCACTCTCTCCCACCCTTTCCTACACCCTCCCACTCTCTCCCACCTCTTCCCACACCCTCCCACTCTCTCTACCGCCCCTTCCCACACTCTTTCCCACTCTCTCTCACCTTTTCCCACACCCATCAACTCTCTCCCGCCCCTTCCCACTCTCTCCCACTCCTTCCCCTCTCTCTTCCACCCCTTCCCACTCTATCCCACCCTTTCCCCTCTCTCTTCCACCTCTTCCCACACCCTCCCACACTCTTCCAACCATTCCCACACCCTCCCACACTCTTCCACCTCTTCCCACACTCTTCCACCTCTTCCCACACCCTCCCACTCTCTCCCACACTCTCCCACACCCTCCCACACTTTCCTCCCACCCTCTCACATCCTACCCCACTCTCCCACACCCTCTCACACCCTCCAACACTTCCAAACCCGCTCGCACACTTTCCTGTGGGCAAACCTGTTCGTTCAATGGCAAAGTTTACTCATTGAGTCAGTGTATATAATTCCACTGACTTTGTCTTTTAAAGATTCAGTGGCAAGGTATATGCCTGCAAGTTCTGTTTGAGTTGTACTGGCCCAGGCATTATACCGGTTCATTGCTGTGTGTAAGAGAGAGAGAGATGCATGTCGTCAGTGGCAATTCGAACGAATGCTTTAGCTGCTAAAGAAAAAACAGATTTGAAATTAAATTCTTTTTGAATACCATCACATGCTGGCATCTCAAAGCATTATACTGTTGACATACTTGCAAAAAAAACCGCCTGTTGTAGACCAGTATTATAAATTAATCTGGGTTTTTGATTAGCAGTGACAAAGAGAATACTTGAAAGAATGTCTCATGAAATTTTTTTACTGACTTTAAATATTCACAAAGATATGAAAGCTGTATAGCATTAAACTTTATGATGAATATGGTGAAGATATGTTTATATATGGAACTAATCAAGAACTCGGCAATGTGATGTTATAGTGGCCAGAATACGCTTGGGGATATAGGCGCATCTGGCAGCTTTCTCAAAATTCAAAATGTCGAATACAGCATGTGTCAATTTTGTGAAATTGTCCAAATACCATGTGTCAATTTTGTGAAAGTGTCGAATACACCATGTGTCAACTTTCCTCCCCCCCCCCTCCCCCCCACCCCCCCCTCCTCCCCCCGTTTCGTCTCTTTGAAATATGTTGAACTCAGCAAATACTCTCTGAATACTGGAACACTTGATAATACACTGGACTTGTACCCATGAGTTATGTATCAGTTATGTAATATATATATATATATATATATATATATATATATATATATATATATATATATATATATAT